CTGACTCAAACCAGAACATAGGTGTTGATTGGAAGTAACCAGGAACTTGCCATGGGTTTGCATCTACAGGTTTACCGTTCGCAAGAATATCGTAAATAATGTATACAAATAGTCCTGTTGCTACCACCGAAATCATACTTCCGAAACTAGAGATTACATTCCATCCGTAGAAAGCATCTGGATAATCTGGAATTCGTCGAGGCATCCCAGCTAGTCCTAGGAAATGTTGAGGAAAGAATGTTAGGTGTCCAGAAATAGAATGCAGCAAATAGAGCAAATACTGCTCCCATAGATAGTACATAATGGAAATGAGCAACAACATAATAAGTATCATGTAGTGCAACATCTAGAGAAGCATTAGCAAGAATTACTCCTGTTAGTCCCCCAATTGTGAACAGTGCTAGGAATCCAAGTGCAAATAGCATAGGTGTAGTAATTCGTACTGAACCTCCATATAGTGTAGCTAGCCATGAGAAGATTTTAATACCCGTAGGTACTGCAATAATCATTGTTGCCGCAGTAAAGTAAGCTCGAGTATCTACATCCATACCTACAGCATACATATGGTGTGACCATACAAGGAATCCAAGGATACCAATACTAAACATAGCATAAACCATTCCTAGGTATCCAAATACTGGTTTACCTGAGAAGGCAGAAATAATATGACTAATCATCCCAAATCCAGGAATAATTAGAATATACACTTCAGGATGACCGAAGAACCAAAATAGGTGTTGATATAGTACAGGATCACCTCCTCCTGCAGGGTCATAGAATGAAGTATTAAAGTTTCGATCTGTTAGCAGCATAGTAATTGCCCCAGCTAGTACAGGTAGTGAAAGTAGAAGAAGAATAGCAGTAACAAAAATTGCCCATACAAATAGTGGTAGTTTATGTAGTGTCATTCCGGGGTTTCGCATGTTTAGTACAGTTGTAATAAAGTTCATAGCACCTAGCATTGATGAAATACCTGCAAGATGAAGGCTGAAAATAGCAAGATCAACTGATCCTCCTGAATGGCTTTGTAGAGATGAAAGTGGTGGATATACTGTCCATCCTGTCCCCGCTCCTTGTTCTACAAAAGCACTTGCTAGTAGTAGAATAAGTGAAGGAGGTAGTAGCCAGAAGCTAATATTGTTTAGTCGAGGGAATGCCATATC